TTCGTTTCCTCCGTCTGCGCTTTTATCGCAGCATTTTTGCTTCAAGCCTTTCATGGTGAAGGATATCACCTGGGACCGCGTGCCCAAAAGCCCTCATCGGACTCCACTGGGCAAGGCGCTCAAGCTCCAACCCAGGATGTCGAGCTCGGCCGAGACGGCCGAGGACCTCTCGCTCGTGAACGCCGAGCTCAGGGAGCAGATCGCCAAGATGGACAGGGAGGTGCAGCAGTTGCGAGATCTAGTGGCGGCGGCCGCGTCGCAGAACACCCGCGTTGATACCGCGGAGTCGCCCAGCAGCGGTTCAGCCACAGTCCCTGCCGCGGAGCACGAGGCGCAGGCGGCGGCGGTGGCGGCGGTCTCGGGGGAGGCAGCGGGCACGGCGTCAGTGCCAATCTTGGCGGCTGCACCAGCGGAGGAGGCTGCGCAGGCGGAGTCCTCGGATGAGGCGCCGCTGTCGAACACGGCGATGGACTTGCAGGCAGTCCGCCAGGCGGCTGGCGAGGCATGGGCGGCGCAGGCGGCGGCGCAGGCGGCCTTCCAGGTCAACGGGCAGCTAATGTTGAACCATCGTGAGGTTTAGCTCAACGACCGCATTTATATTTTGCGGAGTGTTGAGCGCGAAGCTTCGCTTCTGGTTCGGCATTAAATGCTCCCGAGGGGGTGGTCGACGTGGAGGCCGAGGACATGCTCGCTGCGCCCGTCGAGGCGCCCCTCTCGCAGAAGAAGTTGGACGCTATGATGCCAGAGGGTGGCTATAGCCAGGCAAGGGTGGGAGATGACTCTCTCGATGCGGACTATGACGAGGCCTTGCAGGCGAGCCTGACCGAGGAGGATGTCCAGCGGGCGCTCAAGGCGAGGGAGGTCCATGAGATGGCCATCGCCATCAGCGCGAGCAAGGAGACCGCGGCGGCCCAGGGCATCGAGGTCGTTGAGCCCAACCCAGAGTCCCGCTGCAGCGACGGGAGCGATGGGCGTGGCTGGCAATCCAAGGAGCGCTTTCTTGTCGTTTCTCCTCCTCGGCCTCCTCCGCCTCCTCCGCCTCCTCCTCCTCCTCCTCCTCCTCCTCCTCCTGCTCCTCCTCACCCACCCCTCCAAACTCCATCGCGGTATCCATCGCGATGGATTCCGCGATGGAGCGTGGAGTCCAATTTCCATCGCAAAATCCATCGCGATGGATTCTGCGATGGAGTTTGTAACTTGCCCGCTGGCCCCTCAGGAGTACGACCTCGCCATGGCTTGCGTTGTGGCCGCGCAGCAGTCCGCCGCCGAGGACTCGCCGCTGTCGTCGTCGTCGTCGTCGTCGCCACCTCTTCCCTCCAGCTTTGGACCGTCTCAGTTGGGAGGCGATTCCATCGCGGAATTCATCGCGATGGATTCCGCGATGCGTGTTTAGGGGGGATACAATGTGGACACAAGTGAGGGCGAGGAACAGGATGACTCGAAGAACGACGGGGACGAATAGGAGTGTGAGGATGAGGAGAAGGGCAACGAGAGGGATTTCGAGGAGCAGGATTCAGAGGAGAAGAGTTCCAGTGCCTCACGGAGGATAGCGCTGGCCCAGAGACCCCGCCGAAGCACAGACGGCGGGCCGCCGAGAAGGCGAAGAACGACGTCGAATCGACCATCAAGGATCGATTGGGGTTGCCGCCGCTGGCGCCGCCGCTGACGCCACTGCTGCTCCTCCTCCTGCTAATCCTACTCCTCCTCTTCCTGCTCCTCTGGCCTTCGTAATCCTCGTAACCTCCTCTCCTCATCCTCCGCCCCTCCTCGTCTTTGCCCCCCTACTCGTTCCCCTTCCTCGCCCTCCTTCCCGCCCCCCTCCCTCCTCGTCCTCCTCCCCCTCCTTCTCCCCCTCCTTCTCCCCCCCCCCGTCCTCCTCAGCCTCCTCCTCCTCCTCCTCCTCCTCCTCCTCCTCCTCCTCCTCCTCCTCCCCCTCCACTCCTCCTCCGGTCAAGCCGCTACTACGGCTCAGGAAAGCCGTAGTTATGCGAGGCGCGTGGAGGGCTCCGCCGCGATGACACCGAAGCTCGACAAGACCGAGAAAGAGGCTCTCGAGAAGAGCCAGATCTCCAAGCTCATACTGGTGTGGAGTTTTCACATCGGCAAGGCGGGCGTGCACCCTCTCCTACTACACCTCGTTCGTCTCCTCATCCTCCCCCTCGTCCTTCTCCTACTCCTCATCCTCTTCCACCTCGCCTCCTCCTCGTCCTCCTCCTCGTCTCATCCTACTCCGCCGTGTCTCACCTATTCCAAATCCTCCTCACTCCTGCTGTTCCCGCTCTCGTCGTCGCGTCGCCCGCCTTCCGCCGCCCACTGAACAGGCGGATTCCGTGGTCTACAGCACCGACAAGCTCCACAAGTCGACCCTCGACCAGTCGCGGCTGCTGCGCTACAAAGATCTGCTGAAGGCCACGCGAGAGCACGTCATGGGCACGCTGAGCCAGCGGGTTGCGAAGGACACCCTCCTCCTCCTCCTCCTCCTCATCATCCTTCTCCTCCTGCTCATCCTCCCATCTCGTCCATCATGCGCCTCCTACTCGCAGGAGGCGTTGGAATCCGTGGCGGCGAGGAACGAGGAGGCGTGGAAGCTCTCCACTGGCGCGGATGGCTGGGCAGAGGACGCTGCAAAAATGTTGCGAAACATGCTCCGTGATGTTTCGCAAGCGCTGCTGAAGACCTCGGGTATACGTAGGGCCAACAGCTGGAGGCGGTGCAGAAGTGCAGATATACATACCGAGCTCGCTTTCGGAAATCCATCGCGAGTTCCATTGCGGTGGATCTCTGATGGAACTCCGAATGCGGGCTCGGTGTGCATATATGCTGTTCTGCACCAGCTCCAATTTTGCAGTGTCCTCACCTAGCCCAGAGGAAGCCTCCCGCTGCCTGGGCCCAGGTGTTCGCCATCGACGGCAGAGACGAGACCGACGCCGCAGGAGCTGCGGATGCAGGAGATGACGCAGGCCCAGGTGGTGCGACGGAAGCTTCAGAGCCAGAGGTGCCGTGGGCATTACTAACTGTCCCACCTCGTCCCTCTAGCTCATCCTCCTTCTCCTTCTCCTCCGGTGCTGCTCTCCCTCATCTCCTCCCATTCCCCCTCCCCCATCCCCCTCCCCCATCCCCTTCCCCCCCCTCCTCCTCCTCCTGCTCCTCCTCCTCTTCCTGGCCCGCCTTCTCCTGTAGGGCTGCCTGCGCTCGCCTGCTAATCCCTACCTCCACTAGGTCGAATGCGATGGCGGCAGCGACAATTCTGACTGCACAATTTACGTCAATCACTTTTCGGACTTTGATGAGGAAGAGGAGGAGGAGGAGGAGGCCGAGGAGGCGTTTTGGAAGCGACAGGCGGAGGCGGGATTAGAGGACCGCATGTTCATAGGGGGCCCATATCCCTCCCACCCTTGTCCAAGCACTCCGAGCAGGTGCCAGCGTCGAAGAGGCGCAAGAAGCGCCCTGCTGACATCCTGGAGGAGCGCGATGGCTGGGAGCTCGGCTACGAGCCCACTATGCAGGCAGCGCTAGACGAGCCAAAGTAGGCGTAGGCTTTAGGAGGAGGTGGAGGAGGAACACGACCATGAGGAATATACGTACTTGACGGGGGTGAGGAATAGGAGGAGGAGGAGGAGGCGGAGGAGGAGGAGGAGGAGGAGGAGGAGGTGGAGGAGGAGGCGCAGGAGGCGGATATGATGCTGATGATGATGATGATGATGGTGATGGTGATGGTGATGGTGAGGAGTGATGGTGGTGGTTGATGGTGCTGTGGTGATGATGATTGATGATGATGATGATGGTGATGATTTGGTGTGATGCTTGATGTGATGATGACAATGTGACGATGAGGAGGAGGAGGAGGAAGGAGGAAAAAGAGGAAATGAGGTGGGGAGTGGGGAGGAGGGAGGAGGAGGAGGGGGATGAGGGAGGATAGGAAGGGGGTAGGAGGAGGAGGAATGGAGGGAGGAGGGAGGAGGAGGAGGGGACGGAGGAGGAGCAGAGGAATGGGATTGGCGTGGGTGAGTGACGTAGTGCCTAATCGAACCGCCCCAGGCAGCTTGGCGCAGGAAAGCCGACTCCGACGACAGCAAGGAGTACATCATCGCCAGGAAGGTCGACGGCAAGCAGAGACTGGTCGCGACGTGGGCCGACGACTACGAGTGGGAGGTCGTTGGGACACACGCCGACCAGCTGAGCGACAAGAAGTCGACTGGCCAATTCCGATTGTTCAAGGGCCAGCTCGACGGCGCCTCCGTCATCACCTGCATCGTGAACCACAAGACCCGAGGGCAATGGCTGCAAATACAGCACGGGAGTGGTCAGCTCCTCCAGCTGCGCGGGTACAAGCCTGAATACTTCGAGGATGCCAAGAAGTGGGCCGTGCAGGCGGCGCTGGACTTCACCATTGGGCGCAAGGACAAAGCCAAGCTCGAGGTCGAGAAAGCGGAGTGGCTGGAGTCGCACGGCATCGAGACAGTCCGCAAAAAACCAGCGGCCGCAATGAAGAGACCTTCAGGAGTGGCGAAGAAGCCTGCTGCAGCATCACCCGATGACGTTCACGACTCGGACGACGGAGTCGCAGTCGGTGATGCCGAAGCAGGCGCTGAGGAGGCTGCGGAGGCAGAGGAGGCGGATGCTAATGAGGAAGAGGAAGAGGAGGAGGAGGAGGCGGAGGTGGAGGAGGACGATGCCGAAGATCCTGAGGGTGAAGATGAGGAGGCAGAGGCCGCTCCAGTGATGAGAAAGCCAGCGGGACACGACAAGCTCGAGCGAACCACCCCCGAGGAAATGAAGAGGCCAGCTGCTTGGGCGCAGGATGAGACGGCCTTCCAGACACCGAATAAAACCACACAGCCAGAGCAACGTGCATCCAGCGGACAGGGAGCCACCCCACCCACGGCCCAGATAGTTACAACGGCGGCAGCAGGTGAGACGGACGGAGGTTGTTCTCTTGGTGCGCCGCCGCCCCCGTGCGACACGGACTTCTGAAGAGGACGTGCTGATGAGTTGCTCGCGCGGCATAGTCATAATATTGGCCATCGCCCCATCATAGCCACCACCATCATCATCAGCATCATTACCATCAACAGGATCATCGTCATCATCATTGTCATCACCATCAGCACCAGCACTAGCATCATCGTCATCATCAGCATAATCTTCCACATTGGCAACCCTCCTCATCCTCGACCCTCCACCTCGTCCACCTCACAGTTCATAGGCCCGCAACCTCAACCGAAAACCCGCTCCACCCGAAGCCTCAACCATCGGGAGCATTCGTAACCAGAAATCTCACCATCGAAAGACTCATCGTTCGGAACGTCCATCGCGAATTCCACTGCGATGGAATCCCAGCCAACCTGTCACATCAATTTCATCATCTCTTCTACTCCCAATCCTCTCCTGCTTCCGTCTTGCAGCCGCTGCCCGCTTCCCCTTCTTGAACTCTCTCTCGACGCACCTGCCTGGCAGGATATCGAGTCGTCGCAGGGCGAGGTGGACGAGGTTGCCGCGGCGCGCTCGCTGGTCGAGTTGTTCCAGAGCAAAGCCGTGGCCAACATGCTGGGCATGAAGGGGTATACGGACATGGAGTCTACGATGAACGAGCTGCAGCAGAGTATCGACGAGAACGGCCAGCTGAAGGACCCCCAGAGGTGGGTCGTCACGCCGAGCATGAAACAGCAGGCCGAGGCGGCGGCCGAGGATGGTGACGAGGTCACTCAGGCCGAGTGCGACTTCTGGAAGGACGTGGAGAAGAACAACTTCGCCGTGCCAACAGACGGGAAGGTCAGTCCCATGGCCTCCCGCTGGCAACGTGCATACGAGGGAGATGCAAGTCTCAAAAAGAGGTATGATTCAATTTCGGGCGTGAAGATCAACAAGAGGAAGGCGGAGTTCCGCCGCAGCTGGGCGCTCGACAAATTCAAGAAGCTGAAGGTCGGTTGTGTGGGAAAAACAATAAGTCACAATTCCTCACCTCCTCCACTTGAAACCACCTCCCACCT